CACTTTGCTCAGATGTTAGTTTCTCATGAACCTGTTCAGAGATGTTATGAGACACCTCAGCGGCAGGTGGGACTTGTATTCAGGTCTCCTGGACACGACCACTGTCCCACAAAAGCCCTCCAGTGGATCCAGTTTGTTTTACAACAATTGGCAATGGTACATGATCACTCGTGGACAGATTTTTTTCAGTAAATTTAAATTTCACCATCTGCTGTGGTGGGATTAGGCCAATGTGCCCAGAACATTAGCCTGGAGTTCTAATTATAGTCCAGTGGCATGACCAGATGTGATGTTATGACACACCTCTGTAGTAGGTAGGAATTGAACCCAGGTCCCAGAGGTAGGGACACTACCACTGCACCATAAGTACCCTTATACTAGTGGACTATTTTTATATTCAATAGTGCTCATACACACCATTGAACATTTTTCCCATCACCAAATCATCTGTGGTTTTTTTTCCATCTGTTAACGATCACCAGTAAATCATCCATGTTGCCAATTAATTAATTTACATACAAAGCCTGTTAAGGTCAATGTAAACCATCAAAGGTGAGGGAGAGGTGGAGAAGGGGTTGGGGGGCTAAATCAAAATGGAGTTGGAAGGGGAGATAAGGCAATTTAGCTCTTGCAGTGCCCACTTCTCTCTAAAGGCATTGAGTATTGTTGGACACTGTGTGCTTCTTCTCCAAGGACACTCAGGCGTAAATATAGTGGCAGAAGAGAGGCAGGCAGTCAGCAGATATGAGCCCCTCCACAGCCTGCTGCAACAGCAAATACCCCAACCAATGTATACATGATCAATGGACTCCACAGTGCTGCAAAATAAACAGGCTAAGAAGCAACTAGTGAATTTATGTTTTTTAAAATTTATTTAACTTTTTTTCTCTAATCAACCTGTTTAGAGATGTTATTATAGACTTCTGAAGCAGGTGGGACTTGAATCCAGGCCTCTTGGTCCAGGGGCAGGGCCACTACCACTGCGACTCTAGAGGGCCCCCCAGCCGATATACGCACTGCCGTACAGGCTTGAGTTCATTTGTGGCAGCTTGATGTGGTCCTTTAAGAACGAGTAATCCTGGAAAATGGGAGCCAGTCCGGGATTTGTCAGTAGCTTATGAATTTCACCCTACTACGAACAGAATCTGACTAACTTGTACCCATTTAGTGTGTTTTAAATTCCATAGCGATCCCATACACGAACATAAATGCCACAAATTACTCTGTATTGTTTGAAATAGAAGCCACACCTTATTTATTAAACACTAACAGCGAATCTCCCTGAGTTTCTGATGTGTCAGATGTGAATGATTTACTTTAATATTGATATGATGCTGTTACACAACAGAGAAGATAACGCTGCTTACTTGTTGCCTTGTCTGATGATAATTCATCAATTAAAGCAAAGTATTGCAGATGCTGAAGACCTGAAGTAGCTTCGAAAAGAAACAGAAAAGAGCTGAAGAAACTCAACAACTCGGACAGCATCTGTGGAGAGAGGGGAGGAGTCAATGTTTCGAGTCCGGTATGACACTTCTTTCTGTGCAGATGGGCTGAATGGTCTCTTCAGTGCCCTAACGGTTCTGTCACTCTCACACCGAGTATCTCTGTCACACCCGCATAGACAAAAGTTGAAAAATTGTTCCCAAACATGTTTGCAAAATGGGCATTTTCAGGGCTTTGAGAGTTTATATTTCAGGGTTAATGCAACACAAAGACAAAAATAATTTTAATGTCTGTTTTTTTCGGAAATGAAAATAATTTGCAGACTTGACAGCCAAGAATTAAAATTTAGATCCCTGAAGGTTTCTGACTTTTCTGGTCTGCATCTTTCGCAAGGAGCATTGAGACTGCACTAATGGTAGAATGGAATAGGTTCAAAATCACCGATAAGGTGATCTACTGGAATCCTCACAAGCTTCGAGGACCACACTGACTCTGGGCTCAATTCTCCCGGGAGGGGCTTTTTTTTTAATGTTCTTTACCATTGCAATCTCTCACTTATTCGAACAATTATTTGTCAATGATGACAATGAACAAATTCCCCATGTTATAAAAACATGTTGGAGCAGGTTGACTGAACGAAGTAACGATCAAATCAAAGTGCTATTCTCTTCTCGAATAGCGTTTGAGTGTGAAAGGCTGTGTATTTCATCGAAGTGGAAAGAAATGCAAGAGGAACTGTAACAGAATATATGGGAATGGAATGAGGAAGGACAGTGTTTGGGTATGGACCTTTTACTGTTTGGGGCAAAGCCCAAAATATTAACTTGTAATTTTCTACTTTGTGTGATGTTCTACTTGCTGAGCATTTCCACCGTTTCTCGGTTTATTTGTTTAATAACATTTTAAGACACTAAGTGCTTGGCTACCGAATAAAGAGATTAAAATTTCCACACTCGGTATTAATGCCACTGGTCCCGGTGCAAATGCAGCAGCAATGATAGAGTGTGTTTGAGTTGGGGTGGGGGGGAGATATGGAAGGAGGTGGGGTCGAATAATTTCACCCTCGCCCCCCAAATCCCGATCAATGTCACATCCTCAGAGAATCAAAGTGGCTGAGTGGGGGTTCACCGAATAATTCATTAACGTATCGTTGAAGCTGATTTAGTGCAGGATACTCCTTTGTATCCGGGAGCGCAAATCAGAATGAGACCGAGCAACCGTTTTAAAATCCAAAGACTTATAAAATTGTTTAAAGGCGGGGGAGTGGGTATTGATTCGTTGTGTTCTAGTGTCATGGAAATGTTCATTCCGGTTACATTGATCCTTCTTTCCTCAATACTATGGGACATTTCTAGGACACTTTTAGTTATTCCCGCAATTGGAATGTGTTTAGTTTTAATCCATTCTATTGCACTTGCAGTAGTTTTGAATGTTCTAGAGCTGTCTGCCTGACCTGGACTGTGACTATTAACAGAATTGCAGTTGTGTTGAGGCACTTAGGAGTGGAGCATGTGTGGAGAGGAGTTTAATTTTATTGCACTTTCTGTAATTTTCAAGTAAAAATATTTTGTGGTGTGCTTTCATAATTTTCATGAATAAAGTATATTTTGTGGAAAATAAACCTTTCGTCGGGCGTTTTAAACGATAAATGTCTTGCATTCAGAGACATTTTTAGATCTGATGCTGGTTGTGGCTTGGATTCAGGAGTGGTGATTTCATTTTAAATGGTCAGGTCTTCACCAAGAATAATGCATTTTCTTTTGGCATTTTGCCTTTTACTCTTCAGAATATGAAAACTTATTTTCCAAATATGGACTTGCAATTTGATCAATGTTGCTGGGAAATAGTTGCGTCATCAAGATACTAGGACCAACATTCCTGAAACATTAAAATGAGTCTCGAATCCCTTTGAATTACACGGAGTTGTAATTTATTTTTAACTAGGAGGAAAGTAACCTGGTGCTGGGGACGAGAATTAGATTTTAATATTTCAGCGATGGGCACACTATAACTTATTAGAAAACTGATGATATGTCCCCTGAAAAGGAACCGAAATTGAAAGCCGGGGGATTGGACAGGGCAATGGGACGAGCTGGGTTGCTCTTGCGGAGAACTGGTGTGGAAGGATTGGCCGAACGGCCTCCATCAGTGCTGTAGCCATTCTGTAATTCTACGACCCTAATGTTCTCCATTTGCCTACAAAAATATCTAAAACAAAACTTCATTTCATATCATTTCAAAAAATGCATGTTTAATGTTTAGAAATCGCAAAATTCACTTGCTATTCTGTTGGAATCCCCTCCAGACTCTGTCCATCAACCTTTCTAGTCCCAGTGTCTACCCGTAGTTTTTAGTTAATTGTTTCGCTATTTTGCCTGCTCTAATAGTTAATGCGTTTTCTAATTGCGTCCTTGCAACAATACATTTTTATTAAAAATGAATGTTTGAATAGAGATAACCAGCCATCAGTCCGATATACTTAGGACTCGTAAACTGTCATAATAAGTTAAAGGGAGCTCGAATTAATGTTTACCCCCAACAAACAAGGATTTAAGTTGCTTCTATAATTTAAAGCTAGTTATATGTAGATTGATGAGAAAGATGCATTTTATTATTATAAATAAGAAATATTTTTATTAATCTGAGTCATTGTTGCATGTCTATATATAAAAAGCTGGCATTTATTTTTATAGTATATATATATAGAACCTAAATAAGAACCGAAAGAACTGCGGATGCTGGAAATCAGAAACAAAATGTATAGAACCTGTCTCGATCGTGAGTCGCCTCCAAAATCTCTCCAAGGAAATAGCTTTGAACGGTCTCACCTATAACCTCAATAAACGCTTGCGATTCTGCGCGCTTCAATAAAATGACACGCCGCGGGTGAAAACATAAGAAGGGATAAGCCCTGGACAAAAAAATACATGGAAAGTGAACGTAAACATTCACACGGGAACCTGCATGCGCTTTTTTTTCGAAGGGATAACACAAAGGGAAAACGCTACTTTCTGCAGCATCACTCTCGCGTTGCTATGGCTTCGCTCAGAGAGAAAGGAAAGCCACTTGTCCGCTCTCTCTGGAGATGCACCCCTCTATCAGAGTGGAATTAAACTCCCTGTTACAGTCACACTAGCCCTCTGAAGTGGTCTGCTAATGGGGACAGCTTAGCAGCAATTGCGTTTTCCTTTTTAAAATTGCAACTTTTAGACAGTGGGGGCATTCGTGTCCCACCTGTGTCTCTGTGCCCATTGGGGATTTTTCCAGGTGTTCCTGTGATGTTGGATGGTTTAGCTTGACGTCACGTCGTCATGGGAACCCGTTAAATATATTTGCCTGTTTTGTTGCTTTTTTAATTACCGACCAGGGGAGGGCTGCAAGAGCTGGGACTGGATCCTACATTCTCCAGGGATTTGGAATTGAACTTTTGTTCCGCTTGGGTCTTTTGGAGTCCTCCCCCATCCCAAAAAACAAAAGGAGGGGATGATTCAGATTTGAAGAGAACACTGTTTGCTTGGTATCTGGGTGATCAGACTTGGAGGTCAGAAGTTCATATGGGAAGCAACAAACAGAGTAAAACACAAGACTGCATTAACCTTGGCCAAAGTAGGGGAACTCCAAAGGGGAGCCCTTCAGCCAACGCTCGCTCCAAGAGTTGCCCGGGAAAGAACGGGCTCCTCATGCCAGCCAAGAAGGTCAGGGATTGTGTGGCACTAGGGGACAATGATTTCGCCCGAGGTGAGCACCGCTTCTCCCCGGGATATGCGGTTCTCCCGCAGCCCCAGTCCCCAGGGACCGCTGGTGTCCACGGAACCCAAACTCAAGCGGCGCCTTTCCGCACCCCGGACCAAAGAGACAAATGGGGCAAGAAAATGGACTTCCTGCTGTCAGTCATTGGATTTGCGGTGGATCTGGGCAACGTCTGGCGCTTCCCTTACGTCTGTTATCAAAACGGTGGCGGTAAGATGGTGGTTAGCAAAGTTTAGACAAAACTCTCTGCAAACACATTTCCTTGTTAATATATCTAAACAAATTACTATACGGATAAAGTATCTACCTTCAGTAATTAATGAATTCAATAGATTGCTGAGGTGCTTTTTAAACCATTTAAACTCATACCAGCATTGCTGTGGGTTTTGTATGTAATTTATTTTACTTATATCCGTTTTAATATAAACAAAAAATTTAAAAAACGATGTTGCTACTCACGTTGTTTAAAATATTCAGGCATTTTTAGGGGCGGTGTTGTTTTATAACATGCTTAATATTTGTGCCAATGCATCTTTCCTTTCACAGGATGTAATTGGCTACAAACTCGGAGTTTCCCAAAGCCCTAAAGATAATTTTAGCTAATGATAGTCTTGCTGTTTAACCAGGTCACCTCTTCCTGCTCCCCCCTTGTCAATTTCCTATTCCCAAGACTTATTCCTCGGCCAGGGATCTGTGTAGTTCGTTGTTTAAATATTTTTAAGTTAGTAGTGGTTCTGGACTTTGGCGCCTGACCTAATAAAAACAAAATAATGCGGGACTATTTGTGCACTGCACAGCAACACTTTAATATTACATATGCTGGGATTCGTAATATAACTGAATTCTGACAGTTTGTAGCTGGGTAGATGGAGGAACAACGATAATGAATGGACAGTTCGATCAGTTTGGCAGGTTGGACATAAAAGCACAGTTTTATGGATAGATTGATGGACGGATAAACTCGAGGGTAGCTGGGACTGTAGATGGATCGACAGTTAGGCAGCGCGGATAGATAAATGGAGAGATGGAAGTAAAAGCAATGCTGGACTAATTATGGACGCCAAGTGATTATTCCTGATCCCACTGAAACATATTAAGAATCGCCAATTGGGTGGCTGTTCGATTCATCACGGCTGAAAAATTGGATCAAGGATATGAAAACACGTTTAGAAAATATCAGGAGTATGAAATCTAGGAGATGGCGCAAACCGGGTGATTGGTGTTTGTTGAAATAGTTAACAGGAAAATTACATTCGCCGATGCTATTTGCATATCCCCTTTACCTGCGCAAGAATCGGCTAGAAATTCCCAAAGAGTTGTAAATGCGTACTCCTTGGCGGCAGACAAAACGGAACACACCATTTAACACTGGTAACTTACTGGCAATAAGGCGAATTCTTGGTCGACTTTAATAAATAGGAGAACCATATGGATTCCCCTGAAGAAGCAGTCCGTATCAAACGGTGTAGAGTTTCACTGGGCGTTTAACAACCCCCAGATTGAACGCTACCGATCTCCTTCTCTTCAGGTTTTCTTGGCGACGGTTCCTACTATCCCGTAAACCAGTGTCAGGATATAGACCTAAACAGGTCCCAAAGAGCAAGAGTTGAATAATGAAATTGCTTGGAACTTGTAATAAGTTTCATTGGTAGGATGGAAAAGAATAAACCTGCAAATAAAACGTGTAAATCACCTTAAAAGAGAACATTTTACCTTTTTACACCGGAATTTTGTGTTTTTGAGGGTTTTTTTGAGTAGCCTTTAATGAAATTAAACTTTCTTTTGGTAATGAAACGAATTCCCTCCCTTTACCATGACAAGTATCTTTATATGTGATTGAATGCTATGCATCTTTGAGCTTGTATTCCTCATGAATATATATCCGTCAGAGATACGCCAGAATTCCTGTTCATCTTTGACCGGGGTTTGCGGTTGTCTGCGCTCGCCGTCACTTCTGTGTGAAAAACCGACACAATTTCTGGCGTCTCCAGACGTACTGTCGGTAACATCCTGCTTCTCCCTGCTGTGGCAGTCATTGCTAATGCAATCAGCACAGAATCAGTGATTTGAAGTGGTCTTTCTCCACATTCCTGTAAAAACCATTCAAACTTTTAAGCTTCGTTGCATGAAACATAACCGAATTTGTTTTTAACCATTACGATTCCTGCTGAATAACATCTCTTAGCCTTATAAAAATATTTTATGTGTGAAATATTCCATGATAAAAAGAAGTGCACAATAGATTTTTAAAAGTTAGCTTTTGAGTTTTCACTTTCTACTTAATCCTATGAGTTTGTTCCAATCTTTTCTTTCACTCTCTGTGACATGATTGACAAAGTAATTATATTCCGTGCATTTTGCTTCTGGGCTATGATTGTCTGTGAGAATTCTTCAATCTGATTCACTGCAGTCTATTTGATGGCTTCATTTTGATGATTTTGAAACAGATTACCTGTTTTGATGGCACCAGGCTGAATGTCACATGCAAATGCAAATAGAAATTGACACTCCAGAATCCATTCAGTCTTTGTTGGAAACTTATCCTGAACTTAGCAGTGAGCATTACCTTTGCACTACAGACTGCCAACTTTGGGCTCATGTACTTTTCAGTCAAACTTCCCTATAAGTCTGGAAATCCCAGAAAGGAATGGTTTGCCTTATGCATCAATTAAAAAGGCATGTTTCAGAATCAGGATACTTTTATTTATAATCTTGTTTAAAATTTTAAGCCTCTGCTTTGTAACTTCACAAATCTAAATAGCAGAGACTGTTGTCCTTTGGAACTCATCCCAAAGGTAAACTAGCCTTTAGTAACTGATTAGAGTCTTTGAAGAGGAAATAATCCCAAAACATGGCACCAACAAATTAAGATATGTTTGTTCCCCAGTCAAACATTGACCAGACTAAACTAAATGAAATCGTGGTATGTTTGTACTTGAGAAAAAACACAATAAACTCAAGTATCATAAACATAATTCTTTCAAAATAGCTCTTTTACACTTCATGTTCAGTGATGCTGACAAAACCTTTCTCAATTCTAGCAAAACTTTTGTAAAAGTTCTCCATATAAGATAATCATTGCACACTGGGTAGTTGCTATTTATATTTAGTCACAATTCTTTCGGCTACTTGATAGGTATCTCCACAGAGATTGTCACTGTGCATTGGGTTAGTTGTCTTTGAGAATTGTGATGCTTGTCTTTGTACATTGGGACAGTGGTGTACCCCATTGCACATTAGCTAGTTACCATTGTACTGTGGACTAGTTACTACTTGGTGGTGTCTTACCTACCACCAATTGGAGTAGATGGAATTGTACACTAGCATGTTATCATTCTTAATATTGGAATAGCTATTTGCACATTGAATATTAGAAGTTGGATAGTTACCATTGTATGTCGGCAGTTCCTATTTAGCCAGAGTACATATGAGAATATGTTATCCTGAGTTTATAGATCAATGTCCTGTAACTTAATTATTTCTCATACCTGTTTTCAGAGCTGGTCTCTGTGGTTAATTTCAGGTGCTTTTCTCATCCCCTACACATTAATGGCAATGTTTGGGGGAATTCCTCTGTTCTACATGGAGCTGGCCTTGGGACAATACCAGAGGACTGGCGTGATTCCAGTTTGGAAGAGGATATGTCCAATATTTAAAGGTGAATGCATCAAAAGGTAGCAACATTATAGCATATGTCAGTAAACAAATCGTAATGTCCTGTAAACAAATGAATCACATGGAAAAGGGAACTGAAATAATAAACTGAACAATTAGTCAATTGGAGCATTGTAGTAATATTTACTGCAGCTGTAACCCAAACAATTCAAACTCTGATTTTAAGAACAGTAACTTTTTGACAAGAATTAAAAATTAATAAGACTCCTTTAATTGTGAAACAAAATCTAATTTCCAGTTATGCTCAGACCTTCCAATGTGCACAGGAGCATTGTTATTGAGTAAAATAAATCATGTTTCTACTCAATTACTCTCTTCCTAAACACTAACTTGAATTCAGATGTGTATCCTACTTTAGCTCAAAATGATTTATCTCTCAGCATGCCTCAAGTCATTTTGTGGGTAATTGCGATGTACAAATTCAAAATAAGTCACACAGATCAGGAGGTCCCATTGCTGATCTTGCAAGGTATTGACTTGCCTATAATGACCATCAAGTCATTGGTTGCATTAAATTGTCTGCAGCATCCCTGGGCTGAAGAATGTGGTGAGGAGAGGGAGGGTGCAACATCTAGAAATAATGGGCTTGTCTGCAGAGCTGCTAATCATACGATTTCTAAACAACATTATTAAAGGTTAAGTCCTAAATACAAGAACAGAAAGGAATGATTTCTGACTGCCCTGCTCTTTCATTAGGTAAGTTTTCTTTATGATATTACATTGCAGTCAAACCAACTAGTTCTAACCAAATTCAAGAGATTGAGGTGTAAGTGACTGTCCTTGGCATTAGGGCAGCATTTGACTGAGTGTGACATTAAGGAGCTCTAGAAAAACTGAGGTGAATGGGAACCATTTGCTGAAATAGGATTGCATTTAACCATAGTGCCTCTCACAGCTCAGTTGCCTATCAATATTCTTTACTTGGTTCGTATATGAAGAATGGCCACTCCAGTAAGGTGTCCAGTAATAGTAGGAACTGCAGATGCTGGAGAATCTGAGATAACAAGGTGTAGAGCTGGATGAACACAGCAGGCCAAGCAGCATCAGAGGAGCAGGAAGGCTGACGTTTCGGGCCTAGACCCTTCTTCAGAAATTTACATTGTAAATTCTTTATTGAAACTGAAATACCAAGTGTGAGCTGATCTCCTAATAAAATAATATGATCTTCTTTTGCTATTGTATAGAAAGGAGAGGAATAACACTGAATTTAAGTGTATACACACACCTACACACACACCCGTGAGGAAGGGTCACTTGACCCGAAACATTAACTCTGGTTTCTCTCCACAGATGTTGCCAGACCTGCTGAGCTTTTCCAGCAATTTCTGTTTTTGTTTCTGAATTTAAGTGTGTCAGGTATCCGATAAACAATTAGACTTTGTATAATGGAAAACAGAGCAATAAGGAGGCTGCAAGCCACGAATAGAAGCAAAGCAGTTATGAATGGTCCCTTAGGCCACATTAATAGTGCCATGTTTCTATACAATTGCTAAATTGAGCTTCTCTATATTACCAGCATTTATTTTGTTTTAGGGATTGGATACGCAATCTGTATCATATCATTGTATGTTGCTTTTTACTACAATACCATCATATCCTGGGCTCTCTACTACTTCTACTGTTCATTTACGGCCACTTTGCCCTGGACCAACTGTGACAATCCTTGGAATACACCCAACTGCACCAACTACTTTGGCAAGAATAATGTCACTTGGAATAACTTCTCCAGATCTCCAGCTGAAGAGTTTTTTATGTAAGTGCCTGTAAGTGGCGAGTGCTTAACCAGTGGCACTGGTTTCAAAGAATTAAGCAAGATGTTTGGGTGGGGAATGGTTTGGTTGTGTGGATAAGAATGGGAAAATTGTTGCCTTTGTTGAGGTTTGATGTAAATGGAGTGAAACACGATCAATTATTTGCACTCTGTGGCAGCATTCACACAAGTGGTCATTCCATGTGTATAAATCATCATAAGTGTTGTTATTTATGATATGAATCCTTTGGGTTGAACAGATAGATGTCTGCTCTTATTCAACAGATCTATGTGATCATTTCCAATTAGAAATGTGATCCTGGCTGATTTTACTAGTCCCGATCCAAAGGATGATTAGGTCAGTTGTTAGGCGCCAAGTGCTGTTTTGGCTGTGATCAATTAACTGACCACTTTAATTAGAGGATCTAACCCCTAAGAACAGCTACCATGTTCTGTAGGGATATAAACCATTGAGTGAAACCTCTGAGGTGATGCTAACAAAGTAAATTAGTGTTGCAAGTTCATACATAAGTTACTCACTGCCTGGAAGGCCAATATTTTGACATTTGCAAAATGTTCAGCTTACTTGGACTATTTGCGATGTGGCAGCAGCTTCACTTCCTACTAAAAAAGGATTTATATTTGTGTACACTGCAGAATCGACAACATAGCAGGCTAACATGCCACCATGATAACGTAGTTGGTGGTTTGATATCCAAAGTATTGTGTTCACTGTTATCTTGTAGCCAATCATGGGAGCCAGTGTTAGTGAGATATGGTGCACAAATAGTGACCAAATATTTTAGGTAACCAGTTTTTTTTTGTCTCATCATCTAGAAAGTGCCAATCCTCAGTATTGCATTGAAGTCTGAGCCCTGATATAGGTGGTCAACTTCAGCAGTGGAAATTGTTGCCACAACTCCCGGAGTCAGAAAAGGAGTGCTGTCAAACTGTCAATGACAAATTAATTATTTTTGAGATCTGATTTACTATTGTTCTGTAAAAATTAAGCAATATGCCTTCTTTACATTTTCCTCTTGCTTTTAGACGAAATGTTCTGGAGATTCATAAATCCAAAGGGCTGCATTATGTGGGTGTGATCCGCTGGCAACTTCTCTTATGTCTCTTTGTCATATTTACCATCGTTTACTTTAGCCTCTGGAAGGGAGTCAAAACATCTGGCAAGGTTTGTTCACTGACATAGCCACTGTTATAATATTTTACACAAATGTGGTGAAATGATATTACATCAGGCTCTTTAACAGTATTCAGAACAGGCATGTAAAGTGCTACTGGGATGGGTGCATGAGAGAAAGAGGTCAAAGAGAGGCATGTATTCAATGCAGTGCATTATCAAGAGGGTTGTGTTAAAGAGGAACATATTGCAAAAATGGCTGTGTTCCAAAAAAGGGGTCTATCACAGAGAAAAATATGCTTTAGAGAGGAGCATGATACAAAATCCACAGGCTTGGATTTTCCATTTGGGATCAAATGTCGATGTTGGAATCAAATGCAGGTTCTGACCCCAAAATGGGTTGGGAATAGTTAGCCAACTTGAATTTTGGTCATCTGTGCAGAGGGCACACTTGACATCTGATTGAAGTTAGTGGAGGGGGGCTCTTAATGATAGATGGCAAATAGCAGGTCCTCCAACATTCCATTAAAGGTAGCCCCACCCACTGAGATAGAAGCTGCCAATGCCTACAGAGAGAGAGAAAGAGAGAGAGAGGCAGAGAGAGATGGTGTCTCAAAATGGATGTGCGCTCTGAAGACCAGCAGTCATTTCATTTGTTAGTCAGTGGCCACACCATGGGTGGACAGACACGATGGGTATCAACCAGGTGGAGAACAGGAAGTACTAGGTATCACTTCATCTCATTGGCTGTGTTTTAGCCACAATTTGGAGCCCACTTCATGCCTGGAAAATAGGACCCCTAATTTATGGTGGGGTAACAGTTCTGCCCCAACTCAGCCTTCTTGGAAATGGCTGGAGATGTGGATGGTGCTGGTAAACTGGCACATTGGCAAGTGATTTAAAATTCCAAGCACACCAGTCTTTATAAATCCCATCCATTGTAAGATGCATGCATTAAGGAAAAGTTCAAGTTAATTCAATCAAATATCTTGGATCTGTTACAGGTGGTCTGGGTAACTGCCACGCTGCCATATCTGGTGCTTTTCATCCTTTTGATAAGAGGAGCCACTTTACCTGGGGCATGGCGAGGTGTGGTCTTTTACCTTAAACCAAACTTTAAGAAGTTATTGGACACAGATGTGAGTATACATAATGAAGGAGTCAGAAAAGCTATGAATTATTATGAAATAATTATATTGAATGTGCCTTATTACCAGACTGTAGTTTTAACACATCACTCTACTCCCTTTGTACATAAACAATTTCTCTTAATATGGGATACCTTCCAGGTGCAGTGTCAAAGGTTCAACTATAAAAGCAAAGCACAGCAGAAATAACATCACCATTTTATGTTTCCATGAATGGATCATAAATGGGGGTGAAGACATTGCCATTCATGATCAGTAAAGAGCAAGAATATAGTATGATAATGATATGATAAAAATGTTAATTAATTCTGCATTTCCCAAAGAGAGTTCCATCCATTAATTTCAATCGCCTATATGTTCTTGAGTGAATGGACAAATTAAGAGTGGCAGGGCTGCTGAATACACATAATTCTAGTTAACATTCTTATCATTCATAAAGAAAGATTTCCACTAGTGCTGCCAAATTGTCTTTCAGGGCCATACCTTCACTCCACTATCTCAAAATTCATTCCATGAGTTTATCCCTCCATGTGTGAAGAAAGTCTGTGATTAACTTTAAAATTACCTCTTGTTTGTATGAACCTGTACTCGCTTACCTATCGTAATAACTTAGCTACTCTGCTAACTGTTATATGTCTCCATAAGATCACTACCATAATATATCTCATTCCCAGATTTAAAACCTCAAAAAGCCCAATATTTTCTCATAACTCACTGTCAGCCTCACATTTTTTGCTCCTGTGGATAAATGTCATTCTTCTATCTCTGTCACAACATTGAACACAGTATTTGAGATAACAAAGTGTGGAGCTGAAGGAAAACAGCAGGCCAGGCAGCATCAGAAGAGCAGAAAAGTTGACATTTTGGAACAGGACGCTTCTGACCCACATTTCTGAAGAAGTATCCCAACCCAAAATGTCAACTTTTCTGCTCCTCTTCTGCTGCCTGGTCTGCTGTGTTCCTCCAGCTCCACACTTTGTTATCTCTGACTGCAGCATCTGCAATTCTTGCTATCACTGTGCAATTTGACTTCTTTTTGCATTTATTCTACCGTTTTAGCAATGAAGTTCAAAATTCTGCTAACTTTCTAGCTTTCTGTTATTTATTTGCAGCACTCATTAAGTATAAAGTCTACTAAGGTCTTCAGGTGTCTTTCAATGTCATCCTTAGCTATTCTAAACTCATAGAATATGCACATCGCTCTTCTTGTCCTTACATGTGTATGCTTAATATCTGTATGCATGATGTTTAATTTGCCATTGCTTTGCTCACATATGTATTCTTTCCAGGTTATTCTGTAGCTTCTGAGCTGCCTCCTCTGGTCTGATGTATTAGGCAAGAATTACAGTTGGAAATGGAGCAATGAATCTTGATTTCAATGCACTGAGATTACAAGAGAAGCAGACTGTGCTCATAAAGAATAATAATTAAGCCAAAATGTAATAGCTGTAGCAATATTAATAAAACAAGGAAAGAAATAAACAAGAAAAATTGCAATGGAGTTGAGAGAATTAGCTTTCCTTGTATTTCATTGCAACTCCTCTCTATGCCTTATCTTCCATTAAGTGATCTCTCTTCATAAAAATGATGGTTTACATATGGGATCCATACAGACAGGAATCACATCAGAATAGATCATCTCATTGCAGCGCATCCCATTGCTCTCTCTTAATGCCAACACTAAAAAAAAATCCATATCTTCCAGTTCTACTATTTGAATGGATAAATAAAGAACCTTTCTCAATTGAAACAAATAATGCATTTTCCAAAATTACTTGGGGATCAGCAAGATGCTGATTGATCACTTCATTTTTTTGGGGGAATCTTTATAGCCAGTAGGCCCTACCCTCCTCCGTTTATCAAGGGTGGAGATTAGCATTAATACATAGTGACTCCTGAGTTCTCTCTTAGCCACCGAGCCTTAGAGTGGAACTTGAACTTGCAGCCTTCCAACTCAGAGACAAGAGACACTCAGCCACTGGAAGGCAGTGGTTCGTTAAACATACGACAAATCCTAACTAGCTTACAGTATATTTCTGATCATTTCCAACATTGCTTACAACAGAGACCAGATCTGGTATCATCACAACTTAAAACTTAAAACTGAAAATTTATTTTGGTGAATACTTCTAGCATGAAGTAAATGTATGACTGACCAGCAAAATCATCAGGATATCATTGCATATCGAAAAGTGAACTTTTTTTTAATGTTGGTATTAATTTCCTGCCAATTTTATTATTAAGTGAAGTCTAATTGCACACGCTGGCCCTATCGGATGCTGCAATAGCACACTTGCTCTCACATTCATCATGTGCCTCATCCTCGCAGACAGCTGGACCCTCATTCATTAACCACAGCCTTAGCTACAGACAGGTACTCATCTCCGGGTGGATGGGAGCTCTAAAAGGTAAATGAGTTTATTATTCCGTTGGAACAAGAGAGAAACCCTTACAAATGCAAATCATAGACTGAAACACACATCTGGTTTATGCACAGCCTTTGTTGATGTGGTTCTTGCAAAATGATGACCGTTTTAATAATAGATTTGCTTTCTGTAATTAAAGACTGCCAGAGGAGAAATTCTCAATCCCATTTCCCACTTGTTCCATCCTCTGACACTCTAAAAATTAGACAGGCATATAAAACAAAGCCGTAGTGTCTGCCTACCTATTCTTTTTGTAAACATAGTGATGTCTAGCATGACCACTCTTGGCCCTTCATCTAGGTTTATCGATAACAACTTTTTATTTTATGAATTTAACCTCATCTCAGGATCTTCAATCAGGCCGACGCAAAGAATTATCCTCATGTAGTATATTATTTCACCTCCACAGTGTGGCTGACAGTTTGCTGACTAGTCACAACATAGACGCTAGTGAATTGCAAAAAAACCTAATACTTGCTCTCTGAACTGAATCTACCTTTCAGTATTACATTGCGTTGAAGCAACATCATGCCTTATGTTTGAATCTCATTTCCCCTTTAGTTCATGAAACTTCATTTGGCAGAATTTCTGCTCCTGGTCATCAACAAATATTCGTAAAGTATGAAACAAAAACAGAAATAGCTGGAGAAATTTAGCAGGTCTGGCAGCATCTGTGGAGAGAAAACAGAGTTAATGTTTCAAATCCAGTGATCCTTCTTCAGTTGTAAAGTGTGTATTGGCTTCCACAGTGGAGTAACCTGCCAACACTTAATTATCTTGGGCTATATCTAAGTAATGGTCAACCAGCAGCACTCTTGTAAGACTGTTGATGCTTATGAATCATATCATTTTCTGGAAGTTGAGGAGAAAATAGAAGGTGGAAAGAGACAGCCAGTCAGCTGTGGAGTGCACTGGGAACACTGGAAACAGATTTTACTAAAACCAGTAACTAGAGGAAATGTTCTCCTAATGTTCCTGGAGAATGAATCACAAAATTGCAGAAGAAGGTCGTACATAGAACAGTACAGCACAGGAACAGGCCCTTCGGCCCACTATGTCTGTGCTAACCATAGTGCCATTCCAAACTAATCCCGTCCACCTGCACAAACCAACTTCTCCTTATAGCTAATACACTTCAATCCAGGCAACATCTTGGTAAACCTATTTTGCACCCTTTCCAAAGCCTCCTTTCAGTAGTGTGGCAAACTGAACTGCACACAATACTCCAAATGTGGCCAAACTACAGTTTTATCCAGCTGCACATGACTTTGGCCTGTTTTGTGTCTGCTCTGGCTGTCTGAAATTTGAATGCTGCATCCCAAAAAGAATCTTCGAATCTAACGGTTTAGTAGACAAAATGTAATATAAAACATGATTTAATTTCTTAATTCTATTGCAAAATAAGTGCTTCAGTGTTCTTTCCTACCCATCAACCAACAACGTACTCTGTATTAATTCAGCAATATTCAATTCCTAAATGTAGGTAAATTGAACCTGAATTTCAGGTTAATTATAGACTTAAAGTGACTTGCAAAACTACAGTTCTCTCAATGTCCACTTCCTCTGCTTTTGCCCATTCATAAAAGTAAGCTTTTAGCTGTATTATGTGCTCAACAACTCTGTTAAAATGAAAATGTAAAGAACTATCGCAGCAAATAGCATGCATTTTAGCAAGAATCTCATCGTACTATTGGTTTTAAATTAATAGCTAAGCAATTGCAGGTCAAATATTCAGGTCCACTTATTTTTCAAAAATTAAATATCTATTTAAAATGTGATCAACACTGTAAACAGATTTAACTAGCAAACAATGGTGGGGGGTGAGGTGGGGAGCGTGGAGTGGTGCTCGAGTTTGGAAAGATGCATTAGCACAGAGCTGTGTGATTACACTGTGAGGAGATTAGTGATTGCATAAAATTGCTACGAAAGAAAGGATTCCAAAAGGATGCATCCAAGCCATTGGCCAACATGTTACATTTTCAAGAGAACATAAAAACTGCACTTTTCTTTTTGTCATAATGAAACCACATATAAACTACACAACTATGCTTCCCTAATTCATGGCAATACACTTGGTTGCAAAACTATAATACAAGATTTAACAAATACGTAACTAAAGCACAGTTTAGAAAACACCCATGATTTACAATGAACTGACTATGGAACTTCAAAGGATTTAGCTCATACTTTATTAATTTTAAAATATCAATTAGATTTGTGTATTTTTAATTTCTCCGCTAAGAGTGGCAAGCATCTTAGTTGATCTGTTTGTGGATCTCTTTCCCCACATGATAGGCCAAAGGTAAAGGTGCCATAGTCCCACTCTCCCATTAAAGAGAAACAACTGGTGGTGGTTTAACCTGAGGGTCACCCCAGGCAAGAGCAACATTGAGAAGGAGAGTCTTTGAGGGTAACCTCAGCTGGTGTGGGAATTGAACCCACACTGTTGGCATCTATTCCACATCACAAACCAGCTGCGCTAAGCAACCACAACATTGACCAATACAGTACATGCACCACCTATTTCAGACAAGGCCAGATGTTAAAGCTCACATCAATCTCTCCTTCCAGATTGGAGGGAAGGTGCCTCCAGACTCTATATGGGGAGGGAGTGGTATGGTAGTAACATTCTTGGACCAAGTAATCCAGAACCCAAAGCTAATGTTCTGAGACATGGCTTCACATTCCCCTGCTTCCTATAGAAAATTTGAGTTCAATTAAAAAACTAGCCTAGTGGTGATAATGTAACTACAGTCAACTGTTGCAAAAATGTAATGTCTTTTGGAAAGGGATTCTGCAACCGTTGTCAGACCAATATATTCCACAGCAATGCAGTTGACTTTTAACTGTCCTCTAGCCTAGACAGTGATGCTGACATACAATGTATCTTTACCAAAAGTAGCACCCAGGGCTCATAATTCATCTGATGGGCAGGAGTGAGAATCAAAGGCCCGAGGAAAAGGAGTTAGGCACAATGATCTAACGCTTTCTACCCTTAAGCTCTTTCCGTTATTTAAAATGGGACCATCCTCAGAGCTACGTGATGCTCCAGAGAGCAGTTTAGTTTAAATATAGGTAGGACAAGCAAGCTGAAGTAACAAAATGTCCACAACAATAACTTGCAGTGCACTAGATGAAAACGAAGTGCTCAAAAGCTACCTGGCATTCTGCAAGTGGAAGTTTCCAAAATAACTTACATTATTCATCCACCAGGTAAGCTACTCAGAAAAACTGATAAGATTTTAGGATGCGAATGCCATATTTTATATAAAAAAGATATGATGCATATCATTGATCTGCACAGGCTATTTCTGACCTTTTGCTTTTTTCTTCAGGTGTGGGTGGATGCAGCTACACAGATTTTCTTCTCTATGGGTCCTGGATTTGGAGTGATCATGGCTTTAGCGAGTTACAACCAATTCAACAATAATTGTTACCGGTAGGGCTAAATAATAGTGTCTAATGTTTGTAAAGTCGTACCATATAATCCCCTGCTTGCTTAGTGAATGTGTGCATGGTCCAGTGGCAAACAGAACAGGAAAGTTTCAGATTCATTTGTACTGAGTCGGTTGATCTCACAACAGGCAAATGGAGAATGTATAGCTTTAACTGTGTTACTTTCACGGCCTAAAATATGCTTGGCATTCAAAGGGCTTTTCCAGGGCTGGTGCACATCTCAATCAGAAGGCCTGGGTCAATGTAGTTGGAGCCAAAGATTGAGGCAGTTCATGGTTCCACCCACTTTGAATCCAACGATATAGAAAGAAGATGGATTGACAAATGTGGGAAGTCTGTTGCTTCTGCTGCCCAGATTGAACCAACGCAGCATTTCAGACAAGCAGAAGTGCGGTCTAACAATTCAGAAAGATGTGGAGGTGCTGGTGTTGGACTGGGGGTGGACAAAGTCAGAAGTCACACAACACCAGTTTATAGTTCGACTGGTTTATTTGAAATCACAAGCTTTCAGAAATTCAGAAAGTTTGGAAAGCTGTCAGGTGCTATAAACTAGTGCTTCCCAAAGTACTTTCCATTGAGAACCTATTTTAAGACTTGAAAAATAGTGACCAAAGACCAAAACAAAACCGAAATAAAGCAACAAATAGTATCATTCAGCAGAAAATTATTACAGTTTGCACATTACGGATTAACATGCCATAGTACATCATATCACTATGAAAATCTGTGCCTTTAAAGTACTCTGTAAAAATGTTAACATTTTATGCGTCCATATCAGCCTCAGGCAAACTCTTCATATTTTCCAGTAACTAGAGATTTAGTGAAGGGCCTCTTCTCCCCACCTACAAACTACAAACAAAATTCTGCACCTCTTCCCCCCTGCCTACACACAGTGCATAACCCCTCTCTCAACTCCAACCACAATCTAATCAGACTATCTCCTCTTTCTCACACAGTGAAATCAGCCCCTTTCCCCTTCCCCAACACACATCATAGTCAGCTCTGTCCACTCCCCAGGACATACTGTAATCAGTCCCTTTTCCATCATCATCATTACCTGTTCCCTTCACCACTGCTGTCCTACTCTTGGTCTAGTTGCCAGTACCTATGAAGTTGAATCACCAGCCATGGGGAAGGAGCCTGCACAACAGGAGCAGAAACACAGTGAAGCTGGAAGCGGCATTAGCACTGCTACCTCACAGCGCCAGGGACCCGGGTTCAATTCCACCCTCAAGTGACTGTCTGTGTGGAGTTTGCACCCAGAGGAAGCCCACACAGACACGTGCAAACTCCACACAGACAGTCACCCGAGGGTGAAATTGAACCCGGGTCCCTGACACTGCAAGGCAGTTGCGCTAACCACTGAGCCATCTTGGAGAATGGACACCTTGCAATTCCATTGGGGTTCATAACCCACAGTTTTAAAACTGCCTGCTATAAGCAAGTTAACCTTCATAGAAAAGAGACAATTTTTAAAGCTGCATTGGTAATATTTAGGCACCTGCCATTTTCTTTAGAATTTCCTGTTCCAGGGAAGGCATCAACGTGGTGAAGCTAAAACATTGGACTAATTGCTTGCCAAACAGTGGGTGTGATAGGCAGGACTAAGTAATCCCACAAGCTCTGCCATCCTCCTACACCCAGTTCTCAATGATAGTGAACAATTAAACAACTAACAGCAGGAAGTTCCACAAATATTCACATCCTCAATAACGGGGGACCAGAACATCAGTACAAAAGTCAAGACTGAACCATTTGCATCCATCTTTAGCCAGACCCCAGCCAATCATATTCATTCCATGTGATATCAAAAAATGGTTGAAGGCGCTGGATACAGAGAAAGCTGAGTTGAAGAAGGTGTTCTTGTATTACCTGCTCACTCATGCACAATTTCGTTTTCAACGGGGCTACTCAGCTTCTGGCCTTATTACAGCCTTAGTCCAGGCAAAAGAGCTGAATTCCAGAGGTGAGGCAAGAAGGACTGCCCTTGCCATCAAGGCCACCAAAGCACTGTAGCAAAACGGAGTCAATGAGAGTCAGGGGAAAACACTCCGCTGGTTAGAGTTATACCTAATACAAAAGAAGGTTGTGGTTGTTGGTGGCCAAATATTTCAGCCCCATGACCTGTCTGCTGGAGTTCCTCAGGGTAGCATCCAAGGCCCAAGCATTTCAGCTGCTTCATCAGTGACTCTCCTTCCATGATAAAGTCAGAATTGGAGATGTTTGCTGATGACTGCACAATGTTCAACACCATTCACGACTGCCTGAATGAAGAAGTAATCCGATTCAATTTGCAGGAAGACCTGGACAACATTCAGGTTAGGGCTGATAAGTGGCAAGTAACCTTCATGCCACACATGTATCAGGCAATGACTGACTATCTCCTGCAAGGGAGAACTAAATCATCTCCTCTTGACATTCAATGGAATTTCTACCACTGAATGCCCCTGATGTTCAACAATGATGGGGTTATCATTGGTCAGAAACTAAACTGGATCAGCTGTATAAATGCTGTGACTACAACAACAAGTTAAAGGCTAGGAATACTGCAGTAACCAATTCATCTCCTGTCTTCCTAATGCCTGTCCACTATCTACAAGGCACAAGTCAGGAATGTAATGGAATACTCCCCACATGCCCACATGGCTGCAACTCTAACAACGTTCAAGAAACTCAACACTCAGCAGAACAAAGTATCCCACTTGATTCACACCACATTTACCAAATTCAATATTCACTCACATCACCACTGCATAGTGTCTACTATCGACAAGATGCATTGCAGCAAATCAGCCAGGTTCCTTCAATGGCACCTTCTAAATCCATAAGCTCTACTATAGAGAAGAAGAAAGGCTACAGTTGGATGGGAACTACCCACAAATTTCTCCACAAGTTGTATAATTCTGAATTGTATAGCTGTTCCTTCACTGTTCAAATCCTGGAAATCTTATCCCAACATAATTATGGGTATATCCACACCCTCGTGGACTGCAGCAGTTCAAGAAAGCAGCTCATCATCACCTCCTCCAGGGCAGTTAGCTGTAGGCAACAAATGCTGGCCTAGCAGCACCATTCGCAACCCATGTACAGATAAAAGAAAGTTATATGAATAATCAGGGTAAGAGAATTCCTGCTTCCTCACTGTTGTGACAGTGGTGTGGAGACATGGGCTTTCAGTTTTTGATCGGAGTGTTCGTTAATAACATATCGAATAATACACAAGTGAAAATTGCATGCATGCATTGATGATTGGTAATCCCTTCCTTCAGGAAGGGATATCAGGAAATTGCAGGTGCACATTTAAGCAATGCTACTTTGGTTTCTTGACATTTAAAATCAGAGGATGAAGGCTCTTAGATCATAAAATGAACTTCTTATTGTTGACTTTTATTGTCTTTACAGAGATGCAATTGTCACCAGTTTAGTGAACTGCCTGACTAGTCTCTTGTCAGGCTTTGTAATTTTCACAGTACTGGGATACATGGCTGAGATGCGCAATGTTGACGTGGAGGAAGTGGCAAAAGACAAAGGTGCGTGAATTTGAGTGATTTTTCAACAAAGACATTCTCTGTTAATTATAGCCCAGCACAAGAAAGAGTGTGGAACAAAGCCATCAGTGGGTTGCAACATTCCATTAGCATGTTGAGACAGACACCATCAGGAGTGTGAGATAACACAGTATGGAGCTGGAGGAACACAACAGGCCAGGCAGCATCAGAGGAGCAGGAAAGTTGACGTTTCGGGTCAGGACCCTTCTTCAGAAAAACTGTCAGGAGTTTGTTGGAAGTACTCTCCACTTGCCTGGATGAGTACAGTTCCAGCAATATTTGAGAAGCTCAACACCATCTAAGACAAAACAGCCCCTCTAATCGGTACCCCACACTCCAGCTTCAACATTTAATTCTTTTACTGCCAATGGACAGTGGCAGTAGTGTATAATAACTGCAAATGCACTGCAGCACATTCCAAACCTGCAACCTCTACCACCTAGAGGGATAAGGAGGAGGATGCATGGGATTGTAACCATCTGCAGGTTCCCCACTAAATCACACATCATTTTGACCTGGAACTATATCACCATTCCATCAGAGATAGTAGGAACTGCAGATGCTGGAGAATCCGAGACAACAAGGTGCAGGGCTGGATGAACACAGCAGGCCAAGCAGCATC